TCTCACTCGCCACTGTACAAGAGGACTCAGTGGTTACTAGCTTCCATCTCTGCTATCATTGGCCACTGTAGAAGAGGACCCAAGGCCCAGCATCCATGGCTGCTCTCATTGGCCGCTGTAGAAGAGGAACCAGGTGTTCTCAGTACCCATGGCTGCTCAATCTGTATTCTCTGTATAAGCAGACCCAAGGGCTCCCAGCACCCTTGGCTGCTCTCACTGACCATTGTAGAAGAGGACCCAGGGAATCCTTGAAATATGGCTGCTCTCACTGGCCGTTGAAGAAGAGGACTCAGTGGTTCCGAGCTTCCATCTCTGCTGTCATTGGCCACTGTAGAAGAGGACCCAGGGCCCAGCATCCATGGCTGCTCTCAATGGCCTCTTTAGAAGAGGACCAGGGGTCCCCAGCACCCAAATGCTCATGCAGGCCACTTTAGAAGAGAAACCAGGGCTCCCAGCACTCACGGCTGCTCACACGGGTGAGGTATAAGAGGACCCAGGGGCTCCCAGCACCCATTGCTACTCACACAGGCCGCTGTAGAAGAGGACCCAGGGACTCACAGCACCCATCATTGCTCACACTGGCTGCTGTATAAGTGGACCAGGGGCTCCCAACACCCATGGCTTCTCTCACTGACCACAGTAGAAGAGGACCCAGGGGCTCCTTGAACCCATGGCTGCTCTGACTGGCCGCTGTAGAACAGGACTCACTGGTTACCAGCTTCCATCTCTGCTATCATTTGCCACTGTATAAGAGGACCCAGGGCCCAGCATCCATGGCTGCTGACACTGGCCGCTGTAGAAGAGGACTCAGGGGATCCTAGCACCCATGGCTGCTCACACTGGCTCCTGTATATGGGGATCCCAGCACCCACGGCTGCTCTCACAGGCCACTGTAGAAGAGGACCCAGGAGCTCCCAGGACTCACAGCTGCTCACATGGGTGATGTAAAATAGGACCCAGGGGCTCCCAGCACCCATGGCTGCTCTCACTCGCCACTGTAGAAGAGGACTCAGTGGTTCCTAGCTTCCATCTCTGCTATCATTGGCTACTGTATAAGAGGACCCAGGGCCCAGCATCCATGGCTGCTCTCACTGGCCGCTGTAAAAAGAGGACTCAGGGGCTCCCAGAACCCATGGCGGTTCTCACTGACCATTGTAGAAGAGGACCCAGGGGCTCCTTGAACCCATGGCTGCTCTCACTGGCCGCTGTAGAACAGGACTCACTGGTTACCAGCTTCCATCTCTGCTATCATTTGCCACTGCAGAAGAGGACCCAGGGCCCAGCATCCATGGCTGCTCACACTGACCGCTGTAGAAGAGGACCCAGGAGTTCCCAGGACTCACAGCTGCTCACATGGGTGATGTAAAAGAGGACCCAGGGGCTCCCAGCACCCATGGTTGCTCACATTGGCTGCTGTAGAAGAGGACTCAGGGGCTCCCAGAACCCATGGCGGTTCTCACTGACCACTGTAGAAGAGGACCCAGGGGCGCCTTGAACCCATGGCTGCTCTCACTGGCCGCTGTAAAACAGGACTCAGTGGTTCCCACCTTCCATCTCTGCTATCATTGGCCACTGCAGAAGAGGACCCAGGGCGCAGCATCCATGGATGCTCTCATTGGCCGCTGTAGAAGAGGACCGAGGGGTTCCCAGCACCCAAATGCTCACACAGGCGGCTTTAGAAGAGGAACCAGGGATCCCAGCACTCACAGCTGCTCACATGGGTGAGGTAAGAGAAGACCCAGGGACTCCCAGCACCCATGGCTGATCTCACTGGCCGCTGTAGAACAGGACCCAGGGGCTCCCAGCACCAATGGTTGCTCACACTGGCCACTGTAAAAGGACCCAGGGGGTCTCAGTACCCACGGCTGCTCAATCTAGATTCTGTGTAAGAGGAGTCAGGGGCTCCCAAAACCCATGGCTTCTTTCACTGACCACAGTAGAAGAGGATCCAGTGGCTCCTTGACCCATGGCTGCTCTCACTAGCCGCTGTAGAACAGGAGTCAGTGGTTCCCAGCTTCCATCTCCGCTATCATTTGCCACTGTAGAAGAGGACTCAGGGCCCAGCATCCATGGCTGCTCACACTGACCGCTGCAGAAGATGACCCAGGGGCTCCCAGCACTCACGGCTGCTCACACGGGTGATGTAAATGAGGACCCAGGGGCTCCCAGCACCCATCATTGCTCACACTGGCTGCTGTGTAAGTGGACCAGGAGCTCCCAACACCCATGGCTTCTCACTGGCCACTGTAGAAGAAGACCCAGTGGTTGCGAGCACAGAATTGCTCACACAGGCAGCTTTAGAAGAGGAACTAAGGCTCCCAGCACTCACAGCTGCTCACATGGGTGAAGTAAAAGACCCAGGGACTCCTAGCACCCATGGCTGATGAAACTGGCCGCTTTAGAAGAGGACCCAGGGCTCCCAGCACCAATGGTTGCTCACACTGGCCTCTATAAAAGAGGACCCAGGTCGTCTCAGTACCCATGGCTGCTCAATCTAGATTCTGTATAAGAAGACTCAGGGGCTCCCAAAACCCATGGCTTTTCTCACTGACCATTGTGGAAGAGGACCCACGGGCTCTTTGACCCATGGCTGCTCACACTGGCCGCTGTAGAAGATTACCCAGGGGCACCCAGCACCAATGGATTCTGACTCTGCCTTCTGTAGAGAAGGACCCAGGGGCTCCCAGCACAAATGGCTGCTTTCACTGGCTCCTGTATAAGAGGACCCAGGGGCTCCCAGCACAAATGGATTCTCAATCTGCCTTCTGTAGAGGAGGAAACAAGGGCTCCCTGCACCCACGGTTGTTTTCACTGGCTCCTGAAAAAGAGTACCCAGGGGCTCCCAGCACCCATGGGTGCTCACACTGTCTCCTGTATAAGGGGATCCCAGCATCCATGGGTGCTCACACTGGCCAATATAGAAGAGGACGAAGGGGCTCTCAGCACCCATGGCAGCTTACATTCATGTTATGTAAGAGGACTAATGGGCTCCCAGCACCCATGTACGCTCACATCGCTACCATAGAAGAGGCCTCCGGGGCTCCCAGCACCCACGGCTGCTCACACAGGCCTCTGTAGAAGAGGACCCAGGGGCTCCCATGTCTGTTCTCACTGTCCGCTGTAAAAAAAAAAAAATGATCCAGGGGCTCCCAGCACACATGGCTGCTCACACTGGCTGCTGTAGAAGAGGAATCAGGGGCTCCCGGCACCCCTGGGTGCTTACAGTGGCAGATGTAGAAGTGGACTCAAGGGCTCCCAGCATTTTGAGAACCTTATTCAGGATCCTTGATCAATCATGTTCTTTTCTGCTTCCCGCAGCCCCAGCAAGACCTTAATTATGTGCTCACTGCCTAATCAACTCATTTCACCTGAGCCTGGATTGGCCACAGAAGGAGGAATCACACCAGATCTCTCAAGCCCTTTCTAATTAGGCTTGGTTACAGCTAAACTCAGATTACCTGGCATGCAACCAGGCACCATCTTGGGGCTGCGGCTTCCCACAGATACCCTTTTTTGTTTGAAATGCAACAGGCAAGGGTAGAGGTCTGTTCTGATCAACAAGGGACATTGTAATGGCCCGGCACTCAGTTTTCAGCCAAGCTGGTGCCACACCCGACCCGTCCGGTATCTTTTCTCAGAGATGGGATTATGATACCAACCCATATGCAATCAGACTTGCCCTCCATGAAGCCGCTAATAGCTGGCCTCAGGTGCAGTACTATGTCTTGCATCTTGAGCGTGATGACTGCTTAGCTTTTAAGGACAGGTAACCAAGCCTGGGGTGATTGCCCTGCCTCCAGGGCTGCGAAGGCTTGTGCAATCATGGCATTACTTCTCCGCTGTGTAACCCTCATCCTGCAGATACACCATAAGGCAATGAGACTGACTAGGATAGCACCCCTCCCAGGGCACCCATTCCCGCCCATTCTTTCAGGTGGTTCATGGCTGGAGTGATCCATGTAGATAGTCCCTCTGCAAACGAGAGGTCAACCCGGGTGGAATTCACAAGCGCGATGGAAAGTCTCAGGTCCTGCATTAACTCATCGAATTTGCCAGACAAATTGTCTAAAAGATACTGAGAAAGCTGGCTAGACATATTGGCAGCCACCGAATACTTTTGATATGGCACAGAGGTCACACATAGAAAGGTTATTGATAATCACAAAAGGATTAGAGGCTCCACTTTGAGCTGGGTTTTGATTACAATAAGGAACCACCTGGATTGCGGGGCGATAGTTGAGTTACCCCTCTCCCAGGCTCTAGGCCCTCAATCTCTAATCCAGGTGGCATTACTCTTCAAAATGGTTTCACCTCGTTGTGATTAAGAGCTTCCACCCGCGCCATTGCAAAAGCAGCTGTTATTTCAGGGGGTCTGGCTTGCTCAAACCACATTAGTCTGGAAGGAATCCCACAGCTTGCCTTAGAACCGTCTGTAAATACATTTGGAGCCGTTGAAATAGGCTCACAAGATGTTTCCTTGGGAAATATTACAGGATGTTCCTTTAAAAATCCCAATAATGAATGCTTAGCGTAATGATTATCTATCTCCCCATCAAATCCACACTGGGAAATGGCCCAATCATCTACTGTGGCACAAAGAACTTTAGCTTGATGGCTGGAATAAGGCATTAGAACTATATTTGGAGTGACTCCAAAATCATCTAACAAAGAAGTTCTAGGGGAACGAGGCTTGGAGCGCTCTTCTTTCAACTGTTCTAACACTTCTTGCCCCTTTCTACAGCCCTGCAGCATCTCTGATCCTCTAAGCAGCTGTGAACAAGCCTCCCAGCACCCATGGCTGCTCACAGTGGCTCCTGTATAAGAGGACCCAGGGGCTCCCAGCACCCATGGCTGCTCACACCCATCTGTAACTAAGTTGCAGGAGCTCCCCACCCTCCTCTGGCCTCTAGGGGCTTGCTGCAGCCACACTGTGCACAGACATGTATGCTTGAAAAATACCCACACTCAGTATAATAGGTTTAAGAAATGAAAAAGCTTGGTGACGGTTACTGTAGGCTTCACTTTATTCAATTTTCTGTACAGCTTTACGTATTTTAATCAGGAAGTAGAAAATCCAACATAAGCAAAATTAACAAATGCGGAAGAAATATTTACACCTCACAAGTGATTAACTGCCCTCCCCAAACACAGCGAGTCTCAGACACTGCTCAAAAGTCAGCTCAGTAGAAAGGTGCAGCAGGACTCCTGCCCTGCCAGAGGCAGGGTTACAAGCTCAGAAGGCAGAGGCTGATGGCACTGCTAAAACCAAGTGAGAAGGGCCTTTCAATTCCCTTGAAAGGATTTCAGTCTCCCCAACCCCAACCTGACAGTCACTGTGTGTGTGTGTGTGTGTGTGTGTGTGTGTGTGTGGCCTTATATAATTTTAAAGAAAAGGTCTGTTGCCCAGGCTAATTTCTAACTCCAGGGCTTAAGCAATCCTCCTGCCTCAGCCTCTGGAGTTGCTGGGACTATGGGCATGCAGGACCACGCCCAGCCAGAGGTATTTTATTGACTGGAATTGTCCTGACCTGGCCTAGGTTTCCAGATGCCTTTTCTCCCCTGTTACCATGCATGCAGGTCTCATTATCCCAGATGGCTGACCGGAGGTTATTCGCTTGTTCAAAGGAAGGGGTCGCATAAGAACATGGGCCAATAACTGGTTTCATACAAGCTGCTTTCAACACTGCTCAGATTGCCTCAAACTTCCTAACTTAACTTCCTAACTCCCAAGCTGGAAACAATGCACACTGAAGACATTTCTACCAGGGCTTTTAGCTAAGACAGGGACTATTAAGAAAGGTGGCCCGAGTAAGGCAGTGGCATCCAAGGTGGCTGTGCTCAATGCCTTCGGAAGCAGATGCAGGTCAGGCAGGTCCAGGGTCCAACTCCTTCAGTTTTTTCTGGAGGCCCCGGAGCTGACTCCGACCCCAGGTGATCCGAGTCTGGAGGCTGGCTATATCTGCAGCCAGCTGAAGGCCTGCGGAGAGAAGAAGAAATCACTTAATCCACACCCTCCCTTCGTTAGTGCCTCACCCATGCTAAACCATCATCTCCTCAAAAGAAAAAGAAAAAAACAACAAAACAAAAACCCTCCCTGACTCACTGTTTGCCAGAATGAGCTCCTTACAGATCACAACCTCACGGCCTCCTTTCCTCCATCCACACGGTTCTGAGCTGCCTGCCTTCCAACCTTCTTTGCACCTGAGGGCGAACCACTTTCCACCCACCCCTCCACTCTCCAGCCCTGGTTGTATCCACCTCTGCTGTCTCTTCCTCTACCTCACCCAGCAGGTCAAGCAGCCCCGTCTTCCCCCTCCAATGCAGCAGGGCTGCCAGAGACTATCCCTAATTCTCCAGGGAACACATTCTCAAAACCCTTAGATTCTAGGGTACCCCAGTCTGTGGTCCCATTCTTCAGTCTCTTCTCCGGGTACTCCCTGGCTCGCAGTTGATCTCAAGTTTTCTGTGCATCGCTGTCAACAACTTAGGAAATTAAACACCAGCACTCTACACTGGACTTCCAAACCACAAGAACCCACACACAATGGCCACTCAACTTTCCCTCAGCTGCTGCCTGGTAGCCTGTTGGCCACCACAGGTGGAACAGCTCCATCCTGGAGTTCCGGGGGACTCTGCTCCTTCCTTTACTCCTGCATCAAAGCTGTTAGCAAACACTCGGGGTTTCTAATCTCAGGACATGTGCAAGTTGCCTGTTCACCTCACTTCCAACGCCTCTACCTACACCCCATGGCTGATCCTAGCACCTCTCTGCTCTCCAGTCTGTCTCCACTCAGCATCCCAAGGGTTCTTGGTACTCTGTTGGTCCTGCTGATTCATCCTGACTCTGAACTCACCCATGGATGCTCACTAGGGCCTAGCTCCTGGGGTCCTGCTCTGATGGACCCCAGCCCTCTGCCCTCCTTTGCTTTTCCCTCGGTCCACATACCCCCTTTATCTGGGGCTTCTACCTTAGTAACTAGACCGGCTAGGGCCTAGATGGTCTCCTTAGCTAGAACATAGTTCATCCAGACCTCTCACAAAGCTTCAAAGCTTCAACTCCTTGGAGAGGTCTTTCCTGTCTCATCTTCATAAATCATCTCCCCAGCCCACTCCCTCCCATGTTACTTTTCTCGGGACTTCCAGAGCCTGGGAACTAAAACAAAAGTCTATTTGTCTGCCTATCTGTTTATACACTGTCTTTCTCCTATACAGAACAAACATTCCATTTTATCCCTTAGCAGTTAAGGGACATGAACCTAGAATGCTGGAACAGCCAGGGAACGCTTTGGGGGAAACCCCCAGCAGACATGCAACACAGTTTGCTACGGTGTAACCCTGCAGAATCCTCACACCTTGTTGGTGTTGAAGTGGATAACCGGCTGGAATTCAGTCAATGGCTCCAGAGTCCACAGGGTTCACTCACCGTCCCGGAAGCTGGCCTGGGCTTGCCGCAGACTGTGAGGGACCAAGATTCCAAACCAGTTCAAGGGATCTTGAGGGACCGCAGAGGACTCTGACTCTTGGGTCTTGGTAGGGCCCTTACGCCTGCGTAGAGCTGGAGAAAGACAAGTTAAAAGGTCATACAGTCCTTGCAAGAACAAAGAGTTTTATTAATCTAAGTTCGTTCGTGATCCTGGAAAACACCAAAGGTTGGAAATTTCCCCCAACAAGCCTGGTGTGGTGGTACATGCCGTTAACCCCAGCACTCAAGAGGCAGTGGCAGGCTGATCTCTGTGAGTTCGAGGACAGCCTGGTCTACAGTGTGAGCTCCAGGAAAAAGAAACCCTGTCTTTAAAAAAAAAAAAAAAAGGAAGAAATTTCCCCCAACTCTTTTGTGTGTCAGGAAATAGTACTACTCTCCCCTTTGTAATCCAGGTGACTCTGTGTTTACTGACTTCCAGGACAGACGATTCTGCCGGCAACAAGATCAGACTAACCTTGCCCATTTTCCTTAAGTGTTCTGGAAGACCCTGAAATCCCCCATTCTTTGTTTCTGGAATGATTAACTGGGATTAGAGGTTTATTCCCCCCACACCCCGCGCAAAAAAAAAAAAAAAAAAAAAAAAAAAAAAGCCTACATACAGAGATGCACTTTTTCTGTCCAGTTGATGAGACTTCCTTGGGCTGTGAAACCTATCTCTCCCACTATAAAACGGACCGCCCATATAACTTCCTATCAACCCTGCTAAGACATGCCAGCGTCCGTCCGGCTTAGACGCGCTCCGTTAAACAGACCCGGAATAAGGTAATCTCAAATGTTCGGTGAGTGTGCGCTGACGGGAGGGAAGGGAACTCACATGCCTCACGGGGCCCCACTTCCTCGGGGGTCTGGGCGTCGGCTTTGATCACCCTGAAGGTCTGGGGTCCATCCTGGGCCTCGCTGAAGGAAAAGGGAAGATAAGATGGGCCTCTGGCCCGCGCCGGTCCTGCATCCCAGCCACCCACTCCCCCACTCCCCCAGGGCACCTCACCTGGCGCGCACGCAGACCTGCGGCTCCATGTGCGAGGCATACTGCAGGGGCCCCACCGACTTGGCACCCATGGCATAGCGAGCCTTGGCAAGCGACAGCCATCCCTGCGGGAGACGGGAGGCACTTGAGGCTCGACTTCCCTCCCATCAGTGCTCGCCATCTGCCCCGCCCACCCCCGCTGCCCGCATCCCCCGTGGTCCACCTCCTCCACCCGGGCGTTCAGCGCCGCCCGCTTCGCCTCTAGTTCCTCCAGGTCTCCGAGCAGCTGCAGGAACCTCGAGTCCAACTCCTCCCGCAGGGCCGAGGCCGCCATGGCGCAGCCGCTGGGTTAAGGACGGCGCAAGAGCCAAACACCCGCCTCCCAAGCCGCCTGGTCACCGCCCATTCGCCCGCCAGCCAATCGGCGCCCGGGACTCGCCTCTCGGGGGCGTTCCTAGCCGTGGCCCGGAAGTCAAAGGCTGCGAGCTCCGGGTGACTTGTAGCAACTGCCAGGGCGATCCGACGTGGAGCGTTCCCCGAGTCGGGCGGAGCTGGCTGTGAAAAGTCGGGCCTTCAACTTAACTCCAGGGGGCCACCCTCCTAGCTGCCCGCTTCTGCTCCTCGCGAGCCGGCGGCGTGAACGGCTCGGGGACTAGTGAAGCCCTGGCCGACGCTCGCTCGCTGCCTTGAAGCACGTGACACTCCGACCCCAGGTACTTGATTGGCTGCCTGGCTGGCCAATGACCTCGCGACGCCCTCCGCCATTTTAACAAGGGGCACTCTGGACGGCCGTCGACTCGAGTGAAGCCCTTGGAGGCCATCTTGGTTGAGGGCGGAAGTGGGCGCTGCGTGGTGCCGGCGGCGCCTGAAGATCGCACGCGTGTGCGGGAGCGGCGCTCGTCATGGTAGGGTGTTCGAGCTCGTGGTTTGGCTTGGTGGCGGCGGCGGCGGTGGAGGAGGGAGGGATGACGAATGGGGGCCCCGGGTCTTGTGGTCCTGTCTACTCCGTGACCCCCGTCTATTCTCCAGCTCCGTCGGGAGGCTCGCCTGCGCCGCGAGTACCTGTACCGCAAGGCCCGGGAGGATGCTCAGCGATCCGTCCAGGAGAAGAAGGAGCGAGTCAAGCGTGCTCTTGAAGGTAAGGGCTCCCTCTAGTCCCTTCTAGAGCATACTGTGCAGTCGTCCTTTGCCTGTTAGGTAGGACCGCTCAGCTTAATTGCAAATGTCGGTATTTATCCGTATTTTGTTGGTTCTGTATCCAAGGAGCTCCGTGTCTCCTATCTGATGTCACCCCTGGGACCTCTGACCAAACTTCCATTTTGCTGTTCCTAAGTTTTTAGGACTATAAAGTATGACTTTGTTACGTAAAGGTTTGTTTGGAAGCATAACGTTACGGCTAGGATTGTACCTCAGTTGCTTGCATCACCACGGAGGAGGCTCTGGATTCTGCCTCCAGCATGATTAAACTGGGCCTAGTAGCCTCTGTCTGTAATCCCGAGCCGAGCTACCAAAGCTGCTTTACGTTTTTGTCTAGTTATAAATATAATGCATATTGGTAATGATAAAGTGCTTTGGGAAATGAGCTCCCCGGGGTGCCCTAAGTTGACGATTAGGTGAAAAGAAATTGGTAGCTGGGTGTCGTGGCATGTCCTGTGATCGCAGCAGTTAGAAGCTAAGGCCATGCACATCTCAAGGCCATGTCTCCAATGAAATAAGTAAAGTAGCTACTTCTCTGTCGCCCAGATTTCTGTACCGACTCTGTTGAGAAAGGAGAACAGAGCTTTCCCGTCAAATGTGTGCAGACTAGTCGTATAAGTTGGGGCCCTGCTTGTGTCTCCCTCAGCCCCGTCTTTGCCTTGCAGAAAACCAGCTGATTCCCACGGAACTACGTCGGGAGGCTCTAGCCTTACAGGGGTCCCTGGAGTTCGACGATGCTGGCGGTGAAGGTAAAACTGTTGTGCGGCCCTCTGCCACACTGAGCCAACTTCTCGGGTCTTGTCCTCCTCAGCCCCACCGGCCATTTCCCTACCTTCCCTCCTGTTTGCCTGTGTGGCGTCACAGGGCTTTCTCTCTAAATGAATGTTTTCGTCTCCGTTTACACAACGGCAAACACCGTAGCCTTCACTCTGCTCATTCTCCCTCACTGCCGCAGCAGAACACTGTCCCCAGACGCCTCGTTCGTTGCATTGTTTAATAAGCAATCAGAGATTCTAGATACTTGTCGTGAGGAAAAGGAGCCTCCCATTTGTTTTAGCCGCTCGGAATTTTGCTGCCATTGTCTACCGTATTGCTCAGTTGTGTTTGGTAACGATGGAAGCTGCCCCTCCCCCCCCTTCCCCCCCCAGGTGCATTTCTATCAGTGAGGGTTCTCTTGAGCGGACTCGGCATTTTTCTTGTCTTCTCGTTCCCCTGACAGGTGTGACCAGCCATGTCGATGACGAATATCGATGGGCTGGGGTTGAGGACCCTAAGATCATGATCACTACCTCCCGAGACCCCAGTTCTCGCTTGAAGATGTTTGCAAAGGTACTGGGGGTGGGGAGTAGGGGTTGCCCTTGGCCGCTGGCCCCAACCCTAACTTGACATTGGTCCATGGGCAGGAACTGAAGCTGGTGTTCCCAGGTGCCCAGCGCATGAACCGAGGCCGACATGAGGTTGGCGCGCTGGTTCGAGCCTGCAAAGCCAATGGGGTCACCGACCTTTTGGTTGTCCATGAGCATCGAGGCACACCTGGTAAGGCCCGCCCGAGGGAGAGGGAGCTCGGGCTGTTGTCACGGCAGAGTGTCTGACAGCCTGTACCCTACAGTGGGACTCATTGTCAGCCACCTGCCCTTCGGTCCTACTGCCTACTTCACACTGTGCAACGTGGTCATGCGGCATGACATCCCCGACCTGGGCACCATGTCAGAGGCGAAGCCTCACCTCATCACTCATGGCTTTACCTCACGCTTGGGCAAGCGGGTAAGTGTGGGAACCTTGGGGTGGGTGCGGGGAGGGGGGTTGTAAGGGTCAGGCCAGCCACTTAGACCCACTCCTCCCCTGTACCCCAGGTGTCTGATATCCTTCGTTACCTGTTCCCTGTGCCAAAAGACGACAGCCATCGGGTCATCACCTTTGCAAACCAGGATGACTACATTTCATTCCGGTGGGTCTATGGGCTGAGTTCGGAGCATGGTGACCTTTGCGGCCTTTTGGCCGACCCATAGGCCCTACTGCCTCACACGCCGCCCGTCTCTGCTTCCTTTCTCCCCAGACACCATGTCTACAAGAAGACAGACCACCGAAATGTGGAGCTAACTGAGGTTGGACCTCGATTCGAGCTGAAGTGTGAGTTCGGGGCCGTTTATGCCGGGGGAGGGGGTAAAAATGTGGGGCTTGGTTGTACATGGGATGACGTCTCTCTCTCTCTCTCTCCTGACCCTAGTATACATGATTCGCCTGGGCACACTGGAGCAGGAGGCCACAGCGGACGTAGAGTGGCGTTGGCACCCCTATACCAACACTGCCCGCAAGAGGGTCTTCCTGAGCACCGAGTAAGCTGTGAGCGACTGGCCAGTCGGGATGCAGACTTGGACGCTTGGGGCAGGGACTGGTCACACACAGATTTACTAATCCCACGTGGGGCCTGGAAGGATCTAAATAAAGCCTCTGACATTGTGCTACTCAACTGCCTCTAACTGGCCACAGCCAGCCTACTCTGTCAGGCCAAACTTGAAAGGTGAAGCCCTTGGGTTGAAGACCTTCTGACTGTGGCGTGTCCTCGGGCCTAGTTTTCTGTGGCGTATAAACAATCCCTCTCAGGCTGGGGATGGTGATATAGACTCCCACCTGGAAAATGAGTGGTTGTCGCTTTGGGACAACCTGTGAGCACTTATTTAGGTGGTTTTGGGTAAATCTTTTCATCAGCAGCAAGCTGACCCCATTCAAGTGCCTGCCTAACTTGTCAGCTCAACAGGGGACATGGTGACACCAACAGCCTGTCCCCCACTCCTCTAACTCTTGTAGATAGGCCTATCCAACAGCACGCAGGGAGGTGCCTCAAGGATCTAAGTCTGTGTCTCAGCCTCTCCCAACTTACGCCCTCTGTGTACCCACATCCTTGTGCAACCCCAGAGATCCTGAGTTTATGTTGAGTGGTTGTCAGGACCCCGCAAATGTGCTAGAGTTTACAGAGAATTGGTGACGAGATCCGCCATGCAGTTAGGAGGGGGCCTCTGAGGAAGCATGTCAATGATATTGTGAGATAACAAGCCATCTGGATTGCGTGTTCAAGGGCCTTGAGGCCCTATGAGAAGAGTTGAAAGGGAGACATAGGACCCACGGAGGCCAGTGTTCTGGAAAGTCTGGATGAGACACCATTACAACTCATGAATCCTGTTTTCTACAGGCCTCTGGGGTCCTACACGGCTTTGGTCCATCCTTGAAGAATGAACCTTTATTGTGTGTGTGTGTGTGTGTTAAATTTTGAAACAAGTAAAATGTGTTAACTGCGTATAGCTGCCATAAGGAATTACTGTGGACCAGGTAATTCACCAGAAATGTGTCGGGGTGTTCACTCCCCCTAAGGCTGAGTGTGTTGGGGATGGGCATCTGTTTGCTGCCTGACTTGCGATGGTTGCCAGCAACCCTTGGCATTCCTTATTGTTGACCACAGCGCCAGCCTTTGTCTTCCATGCTTCTGTCTACCAAATCTCTTGAATGTTTCTTAGAAGGACCTGTGTCATTGTGTTTGCAGCCCGTGGTGTGGGATGATCTTATTTACACAATTCTGAACTTCATTATATCTGCAGAGACCCTTCTTTCAAATGCATTCATAGTTACAGATTCTAAGAACTCTTTATTTTTTTAATTTCATATGGAAAAGTGTTTTGCCTGCACACATACCTGTGTACCACTTGAATGCCTGGGGCCTGAGGAGACCAGAAGGGGGTGTAGGATCCACTGGGTCTGGAGCTAGACAGTTGTGAGCCACCATATGAATACTGGCAGTTGGACTCAGTTTTCTGAAAGAGCATCTTAAGTTTTTTTTTTTGTTGTTTTTGTTTTGTTTTGTTTTTCAAGACAAGGTTTCTCTGTGTAGCCCTGGCTGACATGGAACTCTGTAGACCAAGGCTGACCTTGAACTCAGAGACTCACCTGCCTCTGCCTCCTGAATGCTGGGGTCAAAGGTGTGTGCCACCATGGGAAGATGTCATTTTCAAAGCTGGGAACAATATCATGGCCCTGGTGTCCCCAGTATCCATTGCAATTCAGGAATTACCTTCACAGCTTCATACAGTAGCCTCTTACACCAAACCTGCCGGGACCTCTACCCTGTCACATTGCCTGGCTTTGTCTGCTCTTTGAAACCATGGAATATGACTCCATGAACCCCCTCAATCTTGCATCTTTCATGGCTGAAAAAGTAGGACCCACATAGATGGTGCTGCCAAGTTCTGCTGCTAAGATACGATGTAGCCTGGTGTCCTTGGATCACAGCTGTATCAACTTTGGTGCTCACCCGGGGAAACACTCTACTAAGCAGTTCCTTTCAAGGAACAGGGAACCCTCTGAAATACCGGTTCAGTGTCTTTATAATGCATTCGCACTTCACAGGTTGGAGCTTTGGGTGGGTGGGATTTTCCCTGCCAGCCACCATTTCTGTAATCCAAGTGTACCAACAGATGCTTTCCCTCAGTGGTGCTGATTGCTTTAAGGATCATAGCTGCATCCTCATCACTAGCCTGGCTGCTCCCCTGTGTTCATTAACTTTAAATTCAGTTTCACTCCAGTTCTCAGGACATGGCAGAATAAAGCCATAGTCTTGGAGTATGACACAAGTTTAAGCCCTTAACACGCTGCTGGCAGTTCTGAGTTGCTCTTCCAGCCCAAAGCTCTAAACTCCTCTCATCCCTCTACAACCACATTGTTGTGACAGCACAACAGCCTCACTTCTCGGCTGTAACTTCCGTCGAAACACCCTGAGAAGCCACTTATGGCAAGATTGATTTTGGCTCGCAGTTCAACAACGGCCCCTCAGTCATGACAGCAAGAGCTTGAAGTAACTTACATAGGAAGCAGAGTCGGGAACACTGCTATTCAGCCAGGGTCTTTTCTGTTCAGTCCAGGATTTAAGCCCAGGGAATGGTGCCCCCTATTTTTAGGATGGTTCTAGACTCAGCTTAATACAGTGCCTCGCAGGGTCATCTGGAACAACGCTTCTCGACTTTCCTAATATTGTGGCCCTTTAATACAGTTGTAGTGACCACCTTAACCATAAAATTATTTCCTTGCTACTTTATGTGTGTTTATATATAGCTGTGAGTTTTCTACATTTTGAATCATAAAGGGTGGAGACAAGAGGTTTTCAAAGGATGAAAATACAGCCAAACTCTGATGACCAGTAAAAGTTAGAAATTTAAAAATATCTGCCAGCGTGTATTTAAAAATCACCCTAGCTACATGCAAAGCTCAGGAAAAAGAAAACACATGAAATAGCTTGGTCACGATGACAGGTTTCTGGAAATTATTATTATTCATAACCACCTAGTTTCTGAGGAATGTTGTTATCCACAACAACAGTCTGAGAATTGTTATGGGCCATCTTGTCCACAAGGAAAGTTAATAACTAAAAGATGGGACTGGACTCATGACAAAGAAAATTAATAACTAAAAGACTCATGGCAAGAAGAGAAACCCAGAAAAAAGAAAGAAGTGCTTCTGCCCATAGATACAGACAACTCCCTGGCTGAGAGTACATTCTCCCTGCCCCCCATTATCTTAGGGACAAAGCCACTGAGCCCGCCTAACCTTGCAGGTGCACTAAACAATCCCGCCTTGTGAAACTGTACTCTATGAAATCTCTGTAACCTTGGAAACCTTATTCACCATCCAGGTTTTGAACCGTCCCACGACCTTGCTTCCCTTGCTTTTAGGCCTAGTGAAAATAACAGGCTAGCTTTGAAACTGGCTTTGTTAGCTTTGATGTAAATCCTATAAAAGCTATCTCAATTCTGCACTGGGGGTCCTCAGTCCTCTACCCCTGCGTGGCGTATGGAATATGCAGTGCACTTGGAATAAAAATTCCTCATGCTATTTGTATTGAGACCGCGTCTCTTGAGTGATTTGGGGTGTCACCTTTCCTGAGTGGGAGAGTGAAGGTCCACGATCTGCAGGTCTTTCAATTTGATGGGGTCATGACCCACAGGTTGAGAATGCCTGGTCTGGAGGCTGAGTCATCTCCCAGGTGTGCCTGAAGGCTTGCCTCCTAGGTAATTCAAGGTCCTGTTTTGACAGTCAGTTGTACTGTCACCATGCATCCTCCAGGGGGCGCTGAAGCGTAGGATGGCTTTCTCCTTGGGCTGTGTGTGTACCTGCAGCCCCTAGGTGCTGATCTCGTTCCAAGGAAGGAATCAGATACTGAAACCTCTGAGGAGATTGGGGAGCTCCCAGAGGAGCTCAGCAGGAAGCTGAGCTCCCAGAGGAGCTCAGCAGGAAGCTGAGCTCCTGGGCACTGCAGGGCTCAAACTCCTGCCTGCAGATGGAGAGGGATGGACATTCTGATTGTCAAATATCAAGCTTGTAGTTGGCCAGGGGGGCACCTTGTGAAGCCTGAGTGTTCCTTAACAGTGAAGCAGTGAAGTGTGTGTGTGTGTGTGTGTGTGTGTGTGTGTGTGTGTGTGTGTGTGTGTTTGGGAGTGGGGTGGGGGTGAGGGGGCATTGCTTGACATGTCTTCTATCTCTTATTTGTTGAAAAAAACTTTTTTTGGTCTAGTGGAAAAGGAAGCTAGAGAATAATTGTGTGTTACGAGCTTTCATCGTCAAAGAGTCTCCCCACTGTCTCCTGAGTTAAAACACCGTCTCCCCGGCTCGCCTCCGTGGTTTCTTTCTACCTTTGAAACAGCGGTTCAGGCTGGGCCCTCACAGCACCCATCAGACTTACTCTTCAGCTCCTGAGTGGCCTGTGGGGCAAGGACTCTGAGCGTTGTTATTTCTGTAGTGGCCCGGAGTCAAACATCCCTGCCTTCTTTGCTAGCAGCCAGCCAGACCGGTTTTACCTGGACACATTTATTTCTGCTCCAGTTTGCTCTGGTTGCTGTGACAAGCAAGCACCCTGGCCAAAAGCAGCCTGAGGAGGGAAGGGTTTCTGTGGCTTGCAAGTCACTGTGATTATAATGGGGAGTACAGGTTACATGCTTTCTTGTTGCACAAGGGAAGAAACCAGGGAACAGTTATAATCGGACCAAAGCAAACCCCAAATCCAGCGGTGTTGCTCAAATTCTGCAGCTCAGTGTTTCACATCTGTTCTCATTCCTCCGCACCCCAAAGGCTTGGCGGTCTGCGGTGGTCTGAACAAGAATGGCTCCCTTGGGCTCAGTATTGGTGGACTGCTTGGGAAGCGTTAGGAGGCGAGGCTTGTTGGAAGAGGTGTGTCACTGGGTGGGCTTTGAGGTTTTAAAAGCCCAGACCAGGCTCCCTCTTGCCTTCTCTGTTTGCTGCTTGAGGTTGTGTAAATTCTCAGCTACTGACCTAGCCCCATGCCTGGCTGCCTGCGCCATGCTCCCTGCTGCGATGGTCATGGGCTCACTCCCTGAAACAGTAAGCAACCCCTGGATTAAATGCGTCTTTTATAAGCTGCCTCCGTCATGGTGTCTCTTCAGAGCCACAGGACAGTAAGACAGAGTTCCACCTCTCTGCCTCTCCTATCTACAGCACACACAGCTTGTCTAGTAAGCCCAGGCTGGCTCCTCTCTGTTGACTGTCCTTGGGTGAGTGATCTCCCCTAGTCTCCAATATGCTGGGGTCTCCAGTGCGGTTAGGAAGGCTGTGTCTTCACCAATGGCTTCTCTTGGCCTCCTTGTGGACTCTGATCCTTTTCATGTGGGGCCAAGCTTCAGCCTATCTCCATGGCCTCCTCAATGCTACTTTGCACTTAACCACCTTTACCAGTAGCTTCTCTGCGGAGAGACTGCCACCCTTTTGGCAAAAAAAAAAAAAAAAAAAGTGGCTGTATTTCTCTGGGACTGAGATTAATCCCAGCCAGGCAGAAGACAAAACATCTTTACCAAGTATACCCCAGTGAAGACCCACTTCACCCTCCCAGTCAGCATTCAGGTGGGCAGACCTACTTATTAGCTAAACTTGAGCCCATGGGGTGGAATGGGGTGGACAAACAAACAAAAACCAAAAGGACGCCTCCTCCCGGAGAAATAGACTCCACCCGGCCTTTCCGTTGGATTCTCATCCCCTGCTTGCACAGATCTTCAGCTACCAAAGCAGAGATTGCCCAGACACTGGTCAGCTTTCCTGCCCACGGCTTATTATAGATGACTCACTGACCTCTCAGTAATGCCACTGTTCCTGGGTACCACCAGTATCCAATGGCCACTGTCCACCAGGGGTATCCACTGCTGCTCCACAGACAGCGTTCCCAGTCCCTTAGTGACACCCCTCCATTTGTTCTGGAATCGCCATGAGTCATCTCGGAGATCCAGCTTCTGTGACTCCTATCATCACCGAGGTCATAGACCTATCTACTGTCTCCTGAGTCACCCAACCCAGGTCTGCCCACCAGGCACCAGCAATCCCCCATTGGCATTTACTGGCCACCTTCTGCTTCTTTGGGAACCAATACTCCAAGTCTCTCACCCCTCAGTTAATTCATTGACCTTCACCCGGCTCAAGATGGCACCAACTTCCCAAACACTGTTAGTAACATTCCCTAATCTCCAGTGAACCCACAATTACTGTCCTGTCCATCCTCAGTCATCCCTGCCGGCCCCCTTAGAACACACAAGTATGATCAGTGGCTCCCCAGTAGCTCACAATAAGTAGTCTAGATTCCTGCCTTTAAAGGCTTAAAACAATATTCCTCCATAGTTCCATACACATGCAATGTGCTTTGATCGTATTCCTCTCGGGCCCTCTATAATCCCCGACTTCTTCCTGCAGATCCGTTCTTCACAAGTCCCCTTCCTATTCTTGTCTTGGGTGTGTGTGTGCCCACGGCACACAGGGTTCCCTGGATGGGCATGGGTAGGAGGGGGTCATTCACTCCAGTGAGGGAAACTTACCAGTGGCTGCACTGCTGAGGAATATGACCCCCCTTTCCATAACTGTTGATACCTGTAGCTTCTCAGGGAGGGATGAGGCCTCCTCTGTCCCTCTCATCCATGATGGTGCTTTGATGGGCTCACCCAGACTTATGGGTTCATGGGTGTAAATGCTGTGTCATACCCAGAGGACAATATTGCATGGTACCCTCATCTTCTGGCTCTTAGATTCTTCCTGCCCTCATCCCCACCCAGCAATGTTCCCTGAGCCTTGGAGAGGTGGCACAGATGTCCCTTTTAGGGTTGAACACCGAACGGCCACTTACCCTCAGGACGATTTTACTCTCATCTCACTATTTAAGCTAGGTCCGGCAAACCAGAGTCTGCAAACCACAAATCTTAAAAATTGTAATGAAATTCAAGGATTGGTCTCAACGCAGATCCTAAAACATTTAAAAAATTATTTGGTCAGGCAGTGGTGGTGCACACCTTTGATCCCAGCAATTGGGGGCAGAGGCAACGGATCTCTGTGAGTTTGAGGCCAACCTGTTCTACAGAGCAAGTTCCAGAACAGCCAGGGCTACACAGAGAGATCCTGTCTTGAAAAAAAATCACTTTATGTATGTATGTATGTATGTATGTATGTATGTATGCATTTTACTTACCTGTGTATCTGTGCCATGTGCATACCTAGTACTTGTGGAGGCCAGAAGGGGCCAATGGATCTCCCAGAACTGGAGTTTCTAATGGTTGTGAGTGCTAGGAACCAAACCCGGGTCCTCTGGAAGAGCAGTCAGTGCTCTTAACTGCTCCATCCCTCTAAATTATTATTATTATTATTATTATTATTATTATTATTATTACATTTATTTGTGTTTATGCACAAGGCTGTGCATGTGGAGGTCAGAGGATAGCTCCTGGAAGTGGTTTCTCCTTCCACCATGTGTGTGTGTGTGTGGGGGGGGGTATGGAACTCTTGTTGACAGGCAAGGCAGCAAGGTCATTACCTGCTGAGCCATCTTACTGCCCTCTTCCTCCTTTCAATGAAAGCACATATCGGGTACAGCCACGCCTCCCCTCACTATCTGGCTTTTGCGCTGGCAAAGTGAAGTATGGAGGACAGAGATCGGGTAAAGAAGCCCAAACCAATTCTTCTTGTCTGGCTTTTTTCCAAGATGCTATCCATTCTTCCGTTTAAACACTGCGATTGCCGTTAAATTGGCAGCCCGTTACCAATGATCCGGGGGCTCTTTTGCTGACCTAAACCACTGCCAGCCCTCAGCCCTACCCTTCCACACTCAACCCCAAACTGATTTCCTCTGCCATCCCCGCAGGTGGTACCAGCTCACCTACTGAAGCCTATGTTTTGGCAGACCCCCCCCCCCCGACTTTATTTTGTGTGTAGTGGGGATGCATCCTCACCAAACAACCTGTGTAAGTTGTAAAAGTTGACTTTCTGGAGTCAGTATTCACCTTTCACCATGTGGGTACTAGGTATTAAGTTCAGCTCGACACGCACGGTGACAGGTGCAGGTACCCACTGAACTGTCTCCCCAGTCCCCCATCATAAAAAACAAACAAAAACAAACAAACAAAACACTCCTTGGTTTTTCTCTTTCCTTTCCTTTTATTTTCTCTTCGTTTCTTCCCTTTTCTTTTCTTTACGACACAGGGTTTCATGTATCACAACCTATCTTTGAACTCGCAGTGGAAACGAGGGAATGTCTTGCCTCTCTGCCTTTTGAATTCTGGGACTTACAGGGTGCTGTGAATGAAACCCTGAGCTTCCTCCATGCTAGGCGGGCACTCCACCAACTCAGCTACAACCGTAGAGCAGCCTGCTTTCTAGACCTTAGTCTCCAGGACCTCAGGGGCATTAGCAGGGGATGGGGAGGGTGGTGTTGTCTCCAAGTGTTGAGACCCGTTTTCCGCCTCTCCTTTCCCCAGGAGGGTGAGGGTTAAAAGCTTCCTGTTGGGACTAGATCCTGGTGTCCCACGTTGCCAGCAGGTCCCAGAAAGAGAAAGACCCCCGGGAATAGGTCCTGCACTGGCAGGACAGTATTTTTCTTCCAAGCCTGCCTCTTCCCGACCTCCCTCTTACTCAGCTGTGGCGCAGCTGTGTGCGTCCGCGAGCTGCAGGCTGGGTGGCCCCATTACTCACTTGCACCGGTGAGGTGCTGTGCAACCTTGGGAACCTGGGCTGCGACGTTAAGAGCGCAGCCGTCCCCCGGGAAAGGGACGCGGAGGTGAGCCCGGTGTAGGAACTGGTTCAAGCGGGTCCGAGCGTTCCGTGAGGACTCAACCGCGGTTGCATGGCAACCTAGGCACCCGAGGCTCCATCGGGGAACTGCGGGTGGGACAGCCACGGGACGGGGACGTCCAGTTCCACAGCAGCCTCTGCCCGCGCCCGTGGGCGTGGCAAAGCGGAGTGAGCTCCTAATGCAATTGGTCGAGGGGTGTTCTTCATTGGCTGCTGGAACCGAGGCCTCGCCCCGCAAGTGTCTAAACTCTTGGGGGTCGGGGCGCCGCGTGCACAGACCTCGCAGGAGGGTTGCAGCATGAGTCGCCACTTGGACCTGGTGCGGAGCTTCCTGGAGCAGCTGGAGGCCCGGGACCGCCGGGAGGGAGCAATCCTTGCCCGCGAGTTCAGCGTGAGTGACACTCCAGCGATCAAGCTTCGCAGTCAGGCTGTCCCCACCGCTGTCCACCCGTGCAATGTGAAAGCTCTGCCGGTTTCTCTCGGTTCCCGGGACGTCCCCTGCCTCCCGCTCTCTCGTTTCCTCTCCCTGCACCTCGGCCGCTCTCTCACCCGCTTTCAGCCTCTCTCACTCTGCCGGCCGGTGCCCGGAGGGTGAAGTACACCGCTGTCTGGGAGGAGCGGGACACACCCGGGCGTCCCTGCCGCGCTCCCGGAGAGACCCTTCTACCTAGCAGGGCGGTGGCTGCTGCTGGGTCCGGAGGCAGCACACCTGTGCTGGACTCCAGTCCCCCACCCGGGCCACTACTGGGTCACCTTGTAATCCCTGGGAGGAAGTGGTTTGGGGCAGCAGAAAGAGGAACAGGGAAGCTTTATCGTTTAGCCTTTGAACTCCGGAGTTTCCAGTTTCAAGTCTATGCCCAGGGCCTTTCAGAACTGTGACCCTGGGAGGTCTGATCTCAAGTTCCAACTGTTTTGAAAATATGAATGTTAAAAGCCACGTTGGTCTAAGAAAGAAGGTGGTTTTGGTAGAAACACTAGCGCATATTGGGTACTCACGGGTTAGGTGCCTGTAAGATGGCTTACAAAACTTTTAAACGTGGTGCCAAGCTTGTGAGAGGGAATACCTACCACTCAGCAGGCATGGCATACAACAGGTAATGAAGTATTTTAAATATGGTGACATGATCCAAATACGTAAACATGCTGTATCAAACTTAGAAATATGTATTATAAACATATAAAAACAAATGCGACATTAAATGACCACTTATAGCCTAGCATGGTGGCACATGCAAATAATTCCAGCAGTTGATAGCAGGAGGATCACTGTGAGTTCAAGGATATCCTGAGCTACACAATTTGAGGCCACTCTGAAATGCAGTGTGAGATTGTCTCAAGGGAAAAAAAAAAAAAAAAAAAAAAAAAGATAGCTTACACAAAGACTAGTATGTAATCCTCTAACAGTACAATACTGTGATGACCCTTTAATTCCAGTACTCAGGAGGCAGGAAGATCTTTGTAAATTTTAGGTCAGCCTGGTTTATTTAGAGAGCTCCAGGACTATGTTGAAAAACCTTGTCTCAAAAAAACATAAAAGAAAGAAAGACAACCAAAACCTAACCAAATGAACAAAGAACCAATGACAATTTCACAATGCATACAACAAACATTAATAACCGAACTATTAAGTTCATGAGTAAAATACATAACAAACATGTATAAATTAAATGTGAATCTAAGTAGTTTACACATGTAAAATACTATAACATAAGAAACACATGAGTATTTGAGTACGTGAGTGTGTGTCTGTGTGTATGTCTGTGTGTGTGTGTGTGTGTGTGTGTGTGTTTTGAGACAATGTTTCTCTGTGTAGCCCTGGCTATTCTGGAAGTCAATCTATAGACCAGGCTGGTCTCAAACTCATAGAGATCTGCCTGCCTCTGCTTCCTGAGCTGGGATCAAAAGTGTGTGCCTTCACCACCAGGCCTAAAATATATAATTTATAAACAGGAAAATGTGCATAAATATACACGAGGTATAACTTTTAGGTTGATGAAGAAAGCAGTTCTGAGGGCTCCATGCAGAACCTTGCACACACTCACTCAAGAAATCACTCACTCATACATTCACACTCACTCATGCATTCGACTCATGCACTCACTCACACACACGCATACACACAGTCATGTACTCACTCATGCACTCACTCATGCACACACTCATGCACACACTCATGCACACACTCATGCACACACTCATGCACTCACTCACTCATACACTCTCTCACTCACTCAATCACTCATGCACTCACTCACACACACATATACACTCATGTACTCACTCATGCACACACTCACAAATGCACATACTCACTCATGCAACTCATGCACACACTCACTCATGCACACACTCACTCATGCATTCACTCCAGAGGCTTTGAGTTTTCCACCTCTGTGATTGAAATTCCAAAAGTGACATTCACTATAGGAAAGTGTCTCTGGGGATAACCTGATCAACTGGGACAATGGCCCAAAGACAATGGCAACTTGATAAGGCTTATTATCATTGTAATTGTGATCACCTACTATTAAGAGTAGCAGTCTTCACTAATTATGATAATGTACCAGTTATAAAGTACCTATAGCATCTTCTTATAAGTTATATATTATAACATCTTGTCATGTTGTATCTTGTATAAAGCATTTATTTTAAAAATCTTATTTGGTGTGTGTGTGTGTGTGTGTGTGTGTGTGTGTGTGTGTTGAGAGTTGATTCTCTCCTTCTACCTTATGAATCCTGGTGGTCGAACTACAGTCATCAGGCTTGGTGGCAAGTACCTCTACCCACTGAGCCATCTCCCTCGCCCCCGTTTCATTTGTTTGGGGGTGGGGGTCTTTTGCATATCACAGCGCCTATATAGAGGCCAGAGAACAAGTTTCTGGTGTTGCTTCTCACTTATTATGTGTGGGATCTCGGGATTGAGTGCAAATCTTCAGGCCCAAACACCAAGTGCTTTTACCCACTGAGCAAACTTTTGGGTCCAGATAATGCCCATTTTATTATTTATAGCACAATATAATGCGGGTTGAGTGTGCATGTCTGAGAGGTCAAGCTCCTTGTAGGACCTTTGGCAAGTTGCTCAGCCACATTCTATACCAGCTTTCATCTGCCCAGTGGGGACAGTGGCGAGTTTCCAGTTAGGAAGACCAAATCACCCAGCACTGGGCATGTTTTTCACTCGCTGGATATTATTACACAGGTCCTAACGCTGGTGGATCTGCACTAGTCTTTCCTAGTCAGTAGAACTCGGGGAGTTTCAGCATCCCCACACTCTGACTTGGCTTCTTTCTTCTTCTCTTGCCTCTCCTCTCCTTTTGGCTCCTGGTGCCTTCTACCAGGAGATTAAGGCCCGCTCAGTGGCCTGGAAGACTGGAGGCGTGTGCTCCACCAAGGTGGGCAGTCGACCTGGAAACACGAAGAAGAACCGCTACAAAGATGTGGTGCCATGTAAGTCAGTGGGTTGGGAGTCAGTGCCACTTGCAGGAATGCTAGATGGCAGAGCCCCTGCGCAAGCTCGCACTGCCAGGGCCCAAGAGCTCCCCAAAGCATTCTATTTCCTGGACTTGAAGCAGCTGCATTACTCCCTGAAGCCACAAGGGGCAGTGTTCTGCTACCCTGCTTGCTTTAGCCTGGGATACTTGGCACACACTTCTATGTCTCACCCACCCGCAGATGATGAGACGCGTGTTATCCTTTCCCTGCTCCAGGAGGAGGGGCTCGGAGATTACATCAATGCCAACTTCATCCGGGTCAGGCTAGTAACTAGGGAAGAGGTGGCTTGGGCAGGGGTGGGGAGGGTGGGCTTCAGAATCTTGTCAATGAATGGGCCTTCCCCAGGGCACAGATGGAAGCCAGGCCTACATCGCGACACAAGGACCCCTGCCTCAAACTCTGTTGGACTTCTGGCGCCTGGTGTGGGAGTTTGGGGTCAAGGTCAGCTGTGAGGGACAGAGGGGCATGGCTCTGGGTCTCCCTTCTTCCTGTTTCTCCTTATCAAAGCCCCCCCCCCCGCCCCTCTTGTCTAGGTGATCCTGATGGCCTGTCAAGAGACAGAGAATGGACGGGTATGCATCCTCAACCTCCCAGAGCGCAAGGAAGGCTTATGTAGAGATGAAGGAGAAGGAATCTTGGGGTGTCCTTCTTGCCCCCAGGACCTTGGGCCCAGTCCTTGGCTGACTCCATCACAACCCTGCAAAAGCCACTTGCCATAGTTTTGCCTTGATCCTTTGTTGTTGTTTTGTTTTTCTGAGACAGGGTTTCTCTGTGTCACAATTCTGGCTGTCCTGGAACTCCCTCTGTAGACCAGGCTGGCCTCGAACTCACAGAGATCTGCCTGCCTCTGCCTCCCCAGTGCTGGGATTAAAGGCGTGCGCCACCAATGCCCGGCTCCTCAATCCTTTTCCTTTTGATCATGGGTTTTCCCCTTAGCGCTATCAGCCTGGGCTTTCCACCACGTACTGAGCTGTTTCCCCTCTGGTCTCTCTGTACCCTCTCTGCTTTTCACGCTCCCCTCTACTTATGCTGTCTTGGCTATTCCTCAGATGAGCCAGAGAGGGTTCTGCTCCTGCTGGCGCCAAGGGCATCCTCTGCCTTTCACATTGCTCACTCAGTTACCCGGACTGCCACGGGGCTTCCTACTCCCCAGAACGCCCACCTGTAACTCCTTCCTGCATTTTTCCATTTCTTTTCTACCTCAGCAGTTCTTATCCACCTCAGTGCACTGGATAATTCTAAATGTGAAATACACATCACAATAGCGTATAGATTGCGCTGCACAAGCTGTTCTTTTTGCCTTTGAATGTCTTTTTACTGGAATACAGTTTATACCTGTTCAGCCGGGCGTAGCAGCTCGTTCTGCTACTTCTAGTACTTAGGAGACCAAAGTGAAAGGATGGAAAGTTGAGGTCAGCTTAGGTAACTTAGGAGACCATCAACATTCTCTTCATCCCGTTAACAGTCACCCCCCCCCCATGTTTAGAGTCGCAGGCGACTCCTAGTCTAGTTCTGGTCACTGCAGGTTTACCTACTCTGTGTTTCACACACAGTGGAATTGGGCAGCGGGTGTGGCTTCTGTGCCTGGCTTCTTTCTCTTTGTGTTTTTAGTTCTTGCGTGCAGTAGTGTGTTCATAGTTCACTCCTTTTTGTTGCTGAACAGTGGTACCCCGTTGAATGTCTCTACATTTCACTCCTGTAAGCAGTCCATGGATGCTGGGTTGTTCCGTATTCTGGCTTCAGTGAGTCACGCTGGCGTGAACATTCATATGCAAGCCTTTGAGTGGACGTGAACTTTCGTTTCTAGAGTATGCGGGGTGGAATTGCTGGGTCACGGAGGAACTCCGTTTTTAACTCTATTTTAAGGAAGTGACCAATTGTTTCCCATAGTAGCTGCATCAGGCTGCATTTCCATCCACAAGGCATGACAAGTCGGGTTTCATGAGATCCTCACCAACATTTGTTATTCTCTTTTTAAACACATTTCACTGACGGGGCAGGGGCTGTGCACGTGTGCATGTGAATACTGTAGAATAAGGACTTTTTTTTTTTTTTTTTACTATGTCACCCTGGCTGGCCTGGAACTCAATGTATAGACAAGGTTGGTCTTGAACTCACAGAGATCCGCATATCCCTGCCCTCTCTCCTGCTACCTTGCTAGGTTTAAAAGCTTGTGACACTTTGTCTGGCTCTCTTATTCCTTTTGAAGCAGAATCTGTCCCTGAGCTCTGTGCTGGAATTCTCTCAGCTAGCCTAGAAGCGAGCAAGCCCCAGAGATTTTCCTGTCTCTGCCAACTCTGAGCTGGGGCTGCAGGTATACAGAGGACCTGGCTTGTTATATGGGTTCAGGGATCTGAACTCCAGTACTCCTTGTTGTGCAGCAAGCACTCATAATTGCTAAGCTGTCTCTTAGCACCCTCTATGGTTCACTTCTTTGAATATAAATATGCAATAGAATTACTGTTTGATTTTTTTTCCCACAGTGGCTATACCTTTTTTGTTTTGTTTTTTTGAGACAGGGTTTCTCTGTAGCTTTGCAGGCTGTCCTGGAACTCACTCGCTCAGTAGACCAAGCTGGCCTCGAGTTCACAGAGATCTGCCTATCTCTGCCTTCCAAGGGCTGGGATTAAAGGTGTGTACCACCACCACCCGACATGGCTATTCCTTTTACAATTCCACTAGCTAGGGGTTTCAATTTCTCCGTATGTTCACCAACACCTGCCATTTTGTGTGCATGCATATGCATAAACGTGTGTGTATGTGTGTGTGTGTGTGTGTGTGTGTGTGTGTGTGATGTGCTCTTATTAGATACATATGGAGGGAGGTCAGAGGAGGATGTTAGGTATCCTGCTTTATCAACTTTCTGCCTTTTCCCCTAGAGGAATGGTCTTCCGCTTAGCCTGGAGCTAGGCTGGCAACAAAACCCCAGTGACCCTCCTGCCTCTGCCCCTACCATGCTAGGATTACAGGTGTTATCCAGTCTTTTCATGTGGGTGCTGGGCATTTGAATTCAGATGCCCATTCTTGTTCAGCAGCTGCTCTGACCCATGAGCCAACAGTTGTTATTTTATACCTGCTACTCATTAAGAAAACCATTCACTGGGTTAGAGAGAAGGCTCGGTGGCTAAGAGTGCATTCTGCTATTGCAGAGGACCTGAATTTGTGGTTCATAATCTTTTTGTTTTGGTTTATGAGACAGGGTTTCTCTGAATTGCTTTGGAGCCTATCCTGGAACTAGCTCTGTAGACCAGGCTGGCCTTGAACTCACAGAGATCCACCTGTCTCTGCTTCCCGAGTGCTGGGATTAAAGGCATGCATCACCAATGCCTGGCTCCTCACAATCATTTGTAACTCCAGCTTCAGAGAATCCTAGCCTCTGCAGTCTGCAGGCAGCCTCATTCACCTGTGCATGACCTCCCAATTGAAAATAATAAAAAGACATCTTTTCCCTAACTGTCCAGGAACTAGAGACCAGGTCTAGAGACCAGGCTGGACTTGAAACTCACAGATCTACCCGCCCCTGCTTACTTAGTGCTGGGACTGAAGGCGTATATCACCACCACCTGGCAAAAATAAATTTTAAAAGAGAGAAAAATTACCCATTTTGCTTTTGTTTTTCCTTTGTTTATTTGTCCATTCGCGTGTCTTCTCTGGACTGACATGTATTCAGTTCCCACTTTAAAACTGGGCTGTTGTCTTTATTACTGGAAGAGTTCTGGATACAAGCACTTACCAGCACATGACTGATGAAGTATCACCCCCAACCCTGTGACCTTTGAGGCACAGATGTGCTCTAAGATTTGTGGTCTAAGGTACCATTCTGCTGGTGTTTTTGCTTTTCCATCTAGAAGGTCACTATCTAAAGCATAAAAGATCTACTTCTGTATGTTCTGAGTGTTTCATAGCTTCATACCCGACATTTCTTACTCTTTTGAATTAATTTTTCTGTATGCAGAATGAGAAAGGAATCTAAAGTTCTTTTGTATGTATTCAATTATTCCCATGTCGTTGGTGAAGACCATGCCCTCTCTTGTAAAGGGCCACTGTGCCTTCCTCATTAATCCCATGGCATCATTATTGAAAAAAGGAGTAATTGTAATGGTTTATTTCTGAGCTCTCAAATTTATTCCATTGATCTATAAGTCCGTCTTTGTACTAAGGTCATGATTAGTGTTCGGTTGTAGCAAATTTTGAGATTTTTTTTTCAGTGCGGGGCATCAAAAGCCAGAGCTTCGTCCTTGGCAGGGAAGTACTCTACTCCTGGACTAAGCCTACAGGCCTATAAGCTTCCAGGAAGGAAGGAAGCGAGTCCTCCAGTTTGACCTCTCTCTTTCCGTGTGTTTGTATGGCTGTGCTGTGCGGTATATATGTACAAGTGTGTGTGTGTGTGGGGTGTCCGTGTGCATATGTGTGAGTATATGTGTGTAGGCCAGAGGATGACCTCAGGTGTATTCTTTTATTGCTCTCCTCTTTATTTTGAGTCATGGTCTCTCACTGACTCTGGAGCTCCCTGGTTCAGCTAGACGTTTGGCCAGTGAGCCCAGAGATTCTATTGGCTATTCTCCTGTCTCAACTATCTCCCTAGCACTATATCTGTTCTTTCTGGAAGATGGCTTTGATTATGTACTTTGTGCAACAAGGCCAGCATACTACTTGTGCTTAGAAAGGCCTTCCTACAAAGTTGGCTCGTGGATGACTTCTGAGGCTTTTTTGTAAGGACAGGTCGCTATGCCTAACATATGTATGCTATTGAAAAGTGCCCAATAAAATTCCCAGGGAATGGACGGACTCCCTAACAAGCTTCACTTCTGCCAAAAACTCGTTGCTGGGGTAACGAGGCGTACCCTGTGAAATGGCACTGGGTGAACAGCTTTGGAAGCTCATGTTCTGCAACCTTTGAGTAGCATGCCTTCTTCCAGTGCTGGATTTATCCTGCATCTTTTCACTGGACCAAGTCACGCCCGCGAGGATGATGGTGTGGCGAGTCCTGTTTGTCCTAGTAGGTGTCAACACCATAGCTGGTCTTCCATGGCCTCCACACCTGCACTTCTATACTCATAGTAAGATTACCTTTTCGATAACACCAAAAAAAAAAAACAAAAAAAAAAACCAACCAACCAAACAAACAAACAAAAAAACCTGCAAAGGGCCAGGGAGACAGTTCAGTGTTAGAAAACACTTGTCACAAAGCCTGACAACCTGAGTGTGGTCCCCAGAACCCATGTAATGGTAGAAGGAGAGAACTCACTCTGCCGAGCTGACCTCTGACCTCCACGTGTACCTTAGAACTCATGCCCCGTCATACGTGCTAAATTTCCCGCCGAACCATCTCCCCAGCTCCGACACTAGTGGATTTTCATTGTGAAAAAAAAAAAAAAATAATCTTGCATTCCTAGGAGTAATCCTGCTTGGCCATTTCTTATATATTCTTGAGAATGTGGGCTCTAAGTCCTTGAGACATTGGTGGCTACTTGGTTTTCCTTGTGCCCCTGGCTTGGGTAGGATCATACTCGGCTTTAGCGTGCTGAGTCATGTTCATGCTCCTTCTTGTTTTGTGTTTGCAAGGGTGTGTGAAGGCTTGTTATTGATTCTCCTAACTTGTTTAGTAAATGCCACTAGAGTCTTTTTTACAGGAGAAATGTTTCAAAGTAACCACCTATCTGCTTTTGTCTTTGTTCTTTACTGTTCTTTACTGTTTTCTGTAGACTCAAGTTTCTATCTGGTGTCCTGTTCCGTTTATATGAGAAGCTTCTCCTCATGGTTTCTGTGCAATTAATTTGCATATATATATATATATATATATATATATATATATATATATAAAACGACAAGGTTTCTATTGTATTACTTTACCTGTGGGGTGGGTATATGATTGTGTCATGGCACTTGTAAGTGTGGAGGTCAGAGAACAAACAGCTTGCTAGCTGTTCAAGAGTCACTTCTCTCCTTTGGCCATGTGGGACCTGGAGATAAAACTCTGGTGGTCGGTTTGGTTCTTTAAGTATGATTTCTGTTCAGCCTGGCACTAGAGAGATGGCTCGATGGTTAAGAGCACTGACTGTTTTTCCAGAGGACCCGAGTTCAATTCCCAGAATCCACAATCCCAGAATACAACAATTTGTAACTCTAGTTCCAAGTGATCCAATGCTCTCTGCTAGCCTCAGGCACCAGGCATATACCTAGTGTCCAGACATACATGTAGGCAAAACTCCCAAACATAAAATGATAAATTAATTTCTTTTAAATAAAAACTTTTTTTTTCCTGTTCTCTGCATCTCTCTTCTTCTGGACCCCAGGTACCACCTGGTGTGTCCCACAAATGACTGATTTTCTTGTTTTCTATCTCCTCTTTTTGCTTTGTTTTTATTGCAATACCCTCATGCTCATCACTTTCCTTTCTTTTTGGGTTTAACCTGCTACCTGTGAATTTCAAGTGTTTTAGAATTCCATTTAGGGATGGATGGTTTTGCATCATCTTTCCATTTTGACTATTTATATTGCTGTTTTAAGGTCTTTGGCTCTTTTCTCCGTTGCTTCTGGATCTTTTTTCCTGCCCCCTGGTTATTTCTCTGGTAACAAGTTGTGTGTTTACTATATCTTTTTTTGTCAAGGACATTTTTATTGGATGCTGGATGTTTTACGTGTTGCATAGTTCTGTGTTAGGTTGTGTTGACTTTCATTAAAGAGTGTTTCAAGTGTTTTACTTTTCTAGGAAGGTGGCCACATCTCTTGGATATTTTGTCATCTGGACCTTTCTGTTCCTCTGGTTTCTGTTTGCACAGCTCTCTCTTCCCTGAAAATCCTATATTGCCTTCTCTGAGTCACGATCTGTGCTTCTTTAGCCTATATTGGAATAATGGGACTCCTTAGTTCCTACAGCTTGGCGACACATGGAAACAGTAGACCAGTTAGGCCACTCAGTGACCACAGCCCAGCCTGCAGTGCATGTATCCTCGAGAAGCAGTGGTCCATGACTTAGTTCTAGCTCCAGGCAGTAGGAGGATGTCCTGAACATCTTCTCTCAGCATGATCAAAAGCTTGCCCCTGAGAGATAGGCAGGTCTCTGTGAGTTCGAGGCCAGCCTGGTCTGCAGAGTGGGTTCCAGGACAGCCAGAGCTACACAGAGAAGCCCTGTCTCGAAAAACCAAAATCAACCAATCAATCAAAATACAAAAGCTTGCTCCTATGGAGTGTGCATGTGTTTAATGCCATACTCTGCAGCTGGCCTCTGTTACAGTCACAGCTGCTGGCCCTTCCACTTGTCCCACCTGGGGCGTCTTGTCACTCTGAAAGTGACCTCCCCATTCACTCTTGCCTTCCCCCCCCCCCCCCCCCGCCTCCTCTGCAGAAGAAGTGTGAACGTTACTGGGCCCAGGAACAGGAGCCACTGCAGACTGGGCCTTTCTGCATCACCCTGGTGAGCTGGAGCAGGGGTGGTGGGGAGCAAGGTGGGTTCTGCAGGCCTTGGGTGCTGTGGGAGATCTCAGGAAGGTGTATAGAAGGAGGAGCCATTTTCTCACAGCTCTCCTCCATGCATGGGAAGCCCAGAGTACTCTGGGCTTGTCATGCATGCTGTCAGAAGACAACGCTTTTAAAATTGATTTTCACTTGTATTATTATCGTTATTACTGTGTGTGTGTGTGTTGCTGGCTTCGCACATGCTGGGTAAGTGTTCTTCCCAGGCTCTACCACTTTTGACAACGTCTACTGTTACCTCTGTAACCAAAATCTACCTGTTCAGGTTTCTGAGATTCCTCTTTCTTCACCGTGTGCAGAGAACCGAAGGAAGTTATCCATTAGCAGATGCAATGAGGCCATTGTATTGCACAACAATAGAGCTCTCTTGTGTTCCATGTAGAGGGGTTAATTTGGTTTGCATAGTCGTTCCTCTTTTCCTTTCTGACAAAAGTTTCCTTGAAAGCTTTGGAAGAAGTTTGAACCAAAGGGAAATTTATAAATATTATCAGTATAGAAATGTATTTGAATTAAAAATATATGGCTGTATTTACAATAACATAATACCTAAGGGAAACACCATCATTGGCTGTGAAACTATTCTTTTTCTTTTTCTTTTTTCTTTCTTTTCTTTCTTTTTTTTTTTTTTTTGAGATAGGATTTCTCTATGTAGCCTTAGCTGTCCTGAAACTAGCTCTGTAGACCAGGCTGTCCTCAGAGTCACAGAGATTTCTCCTGAGTGCTGGGATTAAAGGCCTGCACCACCACTGCCCATATATATATATATATATATATATATATATATATATATATATGAATGTATAAGGAAACAAAAGCCGCAAGTCTGTTGAGGATTGGGAATTGTAAGAAAGACACACTAAGTGATTTACCCAACAGATTCTGAATTGTAAGCCATGCCCAGCAAGCTCTTGTCTCCCAACCACATGGGAAGTAGTCTGTCATCCCAAGAATGTAAGAACAGCACCGAAGGCCAGAGAATATTTTAAATGTCTTTAGCATTTGATTTTTAATCAAGGATGCTTTGCTTCCGCCAGGCCTGGTAGTACACACCTGTCATCCCAGCACATGGGAAGCTGAGGCAGGAGGATCTCATGTTTGAGGCCAGCCTGGGCTCTACAGCAAGACCTGCCTCAAAGACAAAAACAAAACCCAACCCTTTGCTTTCTAGAAACGTGAAATGTGTCACTGAAGATCTCTGTTTCTTTTTGGTTTTCTCTTTCCTCTTCTCAGACGAAGGAGACACGGGTGAATGCGGACATCATTCTGAGAACCCTCCAGGTCACATTCCAGAAGGTACTGAAGGGACAGAGGTGAAGGAGCTCTTGCAAGGGAGGAGCTGTGTGCCCCTCCCCCCACTGCCGCCGTCCCTCCCCCCCCCTATAAAGGGTTTTCATCACCCTCGGTTGATACAGAGGGTTTGTTTGTATTTATGGTTCTAGGGATGGAGCCCACAGCCTTGAGCATGCTATGCAAGGGCTCTTCAGGCGAGCCTTTTCTGGCGGATTTAAATGGAATATGCTTAGAACCGTAGCAGGCGCTCAATAGATGTATGTTTTTCTATTCTCTGTCCCCCATCTCAGGAATCCCGCTCCGTGTACCAGCTACAGTATACGTCTTGGCCTGACCACGGGGTTCCCAGCAATCCTGATCACATTCTCACCATGGTGGAGGAGGCCCATCGCCTCCAAGGAGCTGGCCTTGGACCTCTTTGTGTCCACTGCAGGTTTAGGGGATAAACTTTCTGGGGGGTCTGGAGAGGCAGGCAGGAGAGGAGGAGACAGAAAAGCAAGGATAAGAGGTTGGAACCAGCCTTCCCCTTACAGTTGCCTCTTTGGAGAAACTTTCAGCCATTTGTTCACGATACAACGTGCTGGAATCGTTAGCATTTATTGAGCACAGGCTTCCTACTGGGGAGTACGCATATATAGTGGATACTTCACAAGCCTAAGTGAACAAAAAGGGTTTTCCTGCGCTGAAGAAATAGATTAGTGGGTAAGGTACTTGCTGTACATGGACTTGAGTTCAGATCTCTAGCATCCGGGAACAGCCAGGATAGGTGGCTTGCTCCGGAAACCCCAGGGCTGAGTGAGGAGTAGATGCGTGCATTCATGGGGGCTTGCCAGTTAGGCGTCAAGCCACTTGTGGGCACCCAGTTTAGTAAGAGACCCTGTCTCAAATATGTTGATCTCTGGTTTACACACACACACACACACACACACACACACACACACAAAGACAAAAGGGTTTTATTTGAAATTGTAATCTAGGGATCCTGCGATTTAAGGGGTGTCACAGGGGATCTCCCTCAGGCCAGTCCCAATTCTCCATGTAGAAGGGCCTGTGGCATCTGTACGGTCAGGCAGGGCCTGCTGTCCCGGCACTGAGGAAACTGAGTCAGTGGATCAAGAGGTTCAGGCGAGCCTGAACAACACAGCAAGACCTGTGGGAAGGGGAGGAGAGCAAGAAGAGGAGCAACGGGAAAAGGTGACGGGCCGCCGTGATGGAGCCTGCTCTGATTCTTGCTTGCTTCTCAGTGCCGGCTGCGGTCGAACAGGTGTCCTGTGCGCTGTTGATTACGTGAGGCAGTTGCTGCTGACCCAGGTAAGATGCCATCTTCTCTGTGTGCAGTGAGTCCCAACACCCGCCTGCCAGGGCCTGTTCACACGCCCCCCCCCCTCTGTCCCAGACAATCCCACCCAATTTCAGCCTCTTCGATGTGGTCCTTGAGATGCGGAAACAGCGGCCCGCTGCAGTGCAGACGGAGGTGTGTGCTTGGCCCTGCCTTCCCATCCATCCCAGGGAGGCGGCTGTATTTCCCCTTCTCAATGACCTCTCGCCCAGCAGGAGCAGTACCGGTTCCTGTCCCACACGGTGGCCCAGCTATTCTCCCGTACTCTCCAGAAAACCAGCCCCCACTACCAGAATCTCAAGGAGGTACGGAGCCCCCAGTCCCTCACTGTGAAAGGCGCCTTTGCCTCCTCAGGCTCCTTCCCCAGGATGTCCCCTCCCGAGCTAACCTCAGCACCCACAATGGCCAGCATAGGGGGTAAGGCCTCACCACCCTCCCTGCCCGCTTTCCTGCAGAACTGTGCCCCAATGTGCAAGGATGCCTCGTCCCTGCCTGCCACATCCCGCCCACCAGGTGGGGTTCTCAGGTACTGGCTAACCCACTCACAACTCACTGTTTCTCTGGCCCGCCAACCCCTGGGTCACCCTTTCCCTCGCTCTTCCAGAAGGTAACGAAGTTTTAGGCTCTCTCTCTCTCTCTCTCTCTCTCTCTCTCTCTCTCTCTCTCTGTGTGTGTGTGTGTGTGTGTGTGTGTGTGTGTGTGTGTGTGTCTGTTTATGTGCACTACTGGGAGGTCAAAAGACAGCCTTGGGCGTGGGACCTCACCTTCCACGTGTTTTGAGACAGTATTCTCACATCGGGCTCCAGGGGGCTTCACCTGTCTCTGTCTCCCATCTCATGGAGGAGTTCTGGGGTTACACACACACACACACACACACACACACACACACACACACACACACACACACACGACCCAAGTTTGCCCTTATATGGACCTTCACTAGTTCCCTGTCCCTGCTGCTGTAGGGATGCTGGCCATGGGGAATCCGCTTTCAGCCCTCGGGTGGCCCGCCCCTTCCCTCCTTCCCTGCTCTGGGGACTGGGGCCGGCAGGCAGGCAGGCAGGCAGGAAGGAAGCCGGCAGCCTGGGGTGAGCTTGCTCCCTCCCCTGCTCTCCCCGTCCTCAGGCGCTTTCACTTCCTCTGCTCGCTACCCGCTGCAGGAGCATCTCGGTGCCCGGACCCCCGACCCCTCCCATGGCCGACACGTACGCCGTGGTGCAGAAGCGTGGCGCCCCCGCGGGCACGGGGCCGGGGACGCGGGTGCCTAGCAGCGCGGACGCCCCGATCTACAGCCAGGTGGCTCCGCGTTCCCAGCGGCCGCTGGCACACACCGAGGACAAGAGGGGGGCGACGCCACCGGGCCAGGGTGAGTCGGGGCCCGCCCGGGATGCGGGGCTGGGGGCGACCCGAGCGCACCTGTTCGCCTGCTCCCCACCTGCTAAGGCTGGGGTAGGGGTGGGGTTGGGGTGGGGAGGTCAAAGCGGCCACGCGGAGGTCAGCTCCTGGCCACGCCCCCCGGCTCCCGACTGTTGGGGTTCAAAGCCCAAGATGAACCCCCCCTGGCCAGGTCTCAGTTGAGAGGTTGGGTCTAAGCGGGCCCCAAAGATGGACCTCCGCGCTTGGCCACGCCCATGGTTCCGCCCCGGCCGGCTACATCGGGAAGGGAAGTCGATGCCTTCCCCCAGGGGGAGTCCCTGGGACTCCTGGAGGCTGCTAGAGCTGACCCGCAGGGCTTCTCCCACCCGCAGCTCCTGCTGATCAAACCCCTCCCGGGCCTGATGCCTATGAGGAAGTAACAAATGGAGCGCAGACGGGTGGCCTAGGTAAGTCAGTTAGAGCCCCAGGAGTTTGGGAGAGTGGGACTCAGGATCTGGGGATGCGCGCGAATGGGGTTTTGGGAGAGGTCACTTTTTCACGCCTCAACTTCTGCCTGGCGCCCTTCACTCAGGCTTCAACTTGCGCATTGGAAGACCCAAAGGGCCGCGCGATCCTCCGGCGGAGTGGACACGGGTGTGAGTGCTGTACCAGGTACACAGCCTGTCACTCAATAGCGACTGGACGGACTTCTGAAGCCACTATGCTGCTGAGCACTGTGCTGGGAGCGGGACTTGTGGGTCTGCATCAAAATAAAAGTTTCTCAGGGCGGAAAAAAACAAGGGTTTTGCTCAATGATTATAGCAATCAAAGCCCGAGGAGGCTTGGAGAGGTAAGCGGGAGATCACTGTTTGGGATTCTACTCTGAGAAAATTTGAGAAAAAATATCAGGAATGGGCGTTGCAATCCCCCTCCCCACATACTCAAGAGGATATAATAATCTATTAGTAAGCTTCCAGAGAGGGTTCCCTCACCACAGGCATTTAGGCGACCACAGAGGAATGAGGCAGATGGTCCCTGAGGATAGGTGGATGGACCTCTCGCTATTCAGACAGATCCAGGTCAAGCCTAACTATAGCCAAGTGTACTGATCCCAGACAGGTAGATAAAAAAGAAAGAAGCCTGGCAGTATTGGCGTATGCCTTTAATACCAGCACTCGGAAGGCAGAGGCAGGAGGATCTGGTCTACAGAGTGAGTTCCAGGACAGCCAGGACTGTTTCACAAAGAAACCCTGTCTCAAAATGGGGAAAAAAAAAAAAAAAGGTTTCAGATAGGAAAACATATGGCTCACCAAATCTGGACATAGAGCTAGATCCCTAAATACCCACACCTTTAGAGGGGTTGTCTATGGCAAAACAGGTGGACCTCGACCAGAGAGAAATCAATCAATAGCCTTTAAGATCATTCGTAGCCAGTGATCAGCAGTTCCCCAAAATGAGACCCTCACTCTGCCAGCTAGACAGCCAGATGGACTCCTAGCTAGTCAGAATTCCAGAGATAAACAGATTCCAGATGAATTGATACACAGGCATCCCAGCTAGACCAGACCGATCTTCCAGCCACAGACAGAATGGAACTGTATAAACATCACAGGTCATCCCAAATATCCAGACAGATGGAGCTTCTCCTACATAGTACTCCTATTTGGGTGGACACATTGGTATTGTTCCTTTCAGTCAGGCAGCTGCCAGATAGGCAGATATGCATCCCTAGTTGGGGTTCATGCTCATGGGGACCATGAGCAGCTAGACCGACCTGGCATCATCTTAGACTGAATCCCAGCTAGCAGATTGATGGACTTGCAGCCTTTATCTAGATAGGGACTCCATATAATGGATGGACCTTTGAGTGACAAATTACCTTCAGATAGAGATAGATGGATCCCAAGTCAAGATTTGCCATCCAAATTCCAAGGTAGACATATAGACACAATCTAGACAGATTGCCAGGCTACACAACAAATGGTCAGACATGATCCTGTAGATGAGCAGACAAGCCTCTCAGATGAGTACAAATACATCTCCAGCTACACTGGTGAGGGACCAACAAATTAGAATCTGTCTAGACAGACCCTGAGGAGGCAGAAAGACCTGCCCAAGATACTGAACACAATTGTTCAAACCATCTGTAGTTAGAAAGTCAGCCTTGAGCAGAACAGACAGATATACGCAGGCTGCCACTTGGCAGACACCCCTGCAGCAAGCTGCATAGACCTCTGGCCTCGTATGACAGACGAAGCAAACCCAGAGTGACAGACCCGTCACTAGCTGGTAGACTAGTGAGACAGACGAGGCCACTGGAAAGTGAACCCCAGACAGAGTCCTAACTTGACAAAGCCCTCAGATGCCTGCCTGAGTTGACATGCAGACCTCCAGCTAGAGAGACATATAGCTAGATAGACCCTCTTGTAGACTTCCCAATGATCGAGAACGATCTCCAGCTGGTCGGAGATATGGGCCACCCAGTCAGATAAACAGTACACCACCCAGAAAGACAGAACTTCAAACCTTCTTTCTCGAGATGCAAGAAAGTAGATTCTGTGAGATGGAAAGGCAAGAATAAAACATATGCACAGCGCTCTAACCCTGCCCCACCCCACGATGTCCGCAAACAAATCAGCGTCCATGTGACAGTTGTCCGTCTAGTCTCTTCTGGCTATGCCTTCTGACATAGTGCCTTCTCCAGGCTCTCGGAAAGGCTGTTTTGAATTTGATGAAGGCTCCTACCAAGAACTTGCTTTGCTAGGCACACAGCACTAAAATGATTATTAGGAGAATCCAGAGAAGAGCAGGTCAAAAACTCAGCCCAAGAGCCTTACACCGAGCTTGATGATTGCCGGACCACAGGCAGCTCCAGGCTCCCAGGTTCACAGCAGTCCTGGGAAGTCATTGCCTTTCAAGTATTGGTTAAAAAAAAAAAAAAGAGTATGAAGCATGCCTTATTTGGCCACAGTGTCCACAGGCATTGTCAAGTGCTTGAAAATCTTGTGCCGTGAACAGCTCTGCCAACAGGAAGCAGGGGTGACTAGGAAACCTTGGGCATGCATCTTCAGCACCTCAGTTGAATCTAAACCCTAAGAGGAAAGTTGGGGCTGATCATGCTGAGATGCAGTTTGGAGCAGAGAAAGGTCAGGGTGCCATTTTTAGAGCATGGGCTGGGAATGACCACCCTGAGGTAACAGGGTGTCAAGTGGCACATAGGTCAACCTCAAAGCAAGAACTATTGAATTAGTCAGTCTCAAAGACCAGCAAGGAAACGGAGCTGTTGCAGAAAGAGGAAGAGCAGTTCATCCTGACGAAAGAGAAACCAAAGTGCTCTCCTGGAGGCCAGAAGCCAGTATGGTTTGTGGTTGAGGGCTGTACAGGTCTTAGCTGCCTGGTTTGAATAGAAAGAGCGGCTGCTCTGAGTCCGAGAGAGCATGTCTCTAGGATCAGCTGATGGGGAGAATCCTGGGCAATCTGTTGGCAGGTCCTGTCAGGTCTATCTTGGAATCAACCCTAAGCCAGACTGCTGGTCACTCCTGACTGGACTCTGCAGCCACCTTCCTAACCTTCCTCTTATACCCCTTTTGCCCAGGATAAATGCCAGGCTGCTAGGTTCGCTGTTTTCTTAATCCCGTATGATAGTTATATTGACTGTCAACTTGACAGAGTCTAGAATCACCCAGGAGACACCCATAGACTCTTTGTGAGAGTCTATGAATCGGGTTAGTAGATAGAAGTGGGAGGACCCACCCGTGCTGTGGACAGGACATGCGCTGGGGTCCAGGACTGAATAAGAAGAAAGCGAGCTGTTTATCACTGCTCTCTGGCTGCAGATATAATGTCCCCAGCTGCCTCATGCTCCCGCCATGACTTCCTCACTGTCTGGAACTGTGACCCCCAAACAAAACCTTCCTTTCTCAAGTTGCTTGTGTCAGGAATTTTGTCACAATATTAGAAAAGGTCATAGTAAAGTCTCGGGCATTCTTTGATCTTCTTCCAAGGAAATGGGGGTCTTGTTGCTGTTGCTTTGTGTTTGTTTTGTTATATTATTATTCCACACTAAAGCCTCATGCATGGCAGCCTGGTTTTTTACCACTGAGTTTTATCCCCAGCCATCTTTTAACTATTTATTTTTAAAGTTGAAAATAATTTACATGTATTAGTATTTTGCCTGCTTGCATGACTGCACCGTGTGCCAAAACCAGAAGAGAGTAGCAGATGCCCTAGAACTGGAGTTACAGATGGCTGTTGGCTTCCAAGTGGGTGCTGGGATTCAAACCCAAGTCCTCTACAAGAGCAGCCA